ACAACTCTGACTTTACCAGACTTCACAGCTCTCTGCACTCTGTCCTTATGACAGAGAAGACTGCTGGTTAGGCCCCTGAAGCCAGTCGTTTAGCACAGCCCCTGGCACAGAGTGGGCACACAATAAATGCTGGACACTATGAACCACTGAATTCACAGCAGAAGGCCACTAAGTGACTTTGCCCTGAAAACCACAAGCAGATGAGTCACCAACAGCCCAGGAGAGTCCGCCAGTGTGAAATTAATCAAGTCAACCACAATTGTGTTCAGATCAACCACAACTGTTTTTCACTGACATCTGATGGAAACACAGAGAAAGCACTGTGACAGTTAATCCTAGCTTGCAACTTCCTTGTTGGATACCAGAACTGGTTTTCCCTTTGCTTCCTGGTGAGTTGGGCTGCTTTTTGCATTTCTAAACTTTCCATTCCCATTCCACTTTATCTCTCACCCCCCACTCCAATGCTGGAGCCATTTATTATCTGAAGAGAGTCAGCTAACCTGGGCAGCACTCCAATTTATGCCCCAGGCACCAGATCTAGCCTAATCTACTGTGCCTTTCCATCACTCTGCTGTTAAAAGAGACACTTACATTCCTTTGAATATACTGGGAATTGGTGCAGATTAAAATTAGTGTGTGATTGATTTTAAATATACCCATTTGACATAAGCATAGGAGCATTCAGATGCACTAAATTAAATAGGTGTTTAGACATAATTTGGGCATGACTAGAGACTGTGGGAAACAGGTGGTAATTTACTACTACTCAGGAATGAGAAGTAGATCAAAAACCTCACCAAGTGATACCACCTGTTCCAATCAGAGGAATTTCAGCCAGATGCCTACAAAAAACCTGGGTGAAACCCAGCAATGTGAATCTCTTTTAAAGAAACAGTGTACAGTGGACCCTTTATGTATGAATTTGATGGGTTCCTGAGGGCTGTTTGTAACTCAAGTTGGTTGTAAGTCAATACAGCTGAGCTCTGGATGTTTACCTGGGTACACAGTATAGATAACAAGACGCAGATGAATCTTCCATTAACCTAATTAACCCAAGTTGTTTGAATGTCAGGCCGGTCGTAACTTGAGGGTCCACTGTAAAAAAGGTAGACTTCTAGGTGACCAGTTACTGCAGGGCCAAAGCTTCATCAGCCTCAGGCCTACACACAGTCCTCAGTTACACTGGGGAGAGAGCTCCTGCTACTAGCATGGGGAGGAGGGGAGATTTCTAAGAGTGACAATACTTTTTCCCTTAATAAAGAAAATTTTGTTAGAAACCCAAAGAGCAAAAATTAAAATTAAAACCAGGGCCTAAATCGTGGGCCTGAAAAAGGAATATTCTGGCTGCCAACCTCCTCCACCGGGCATGCAGAATTAGTATCTGGGCCTGCTTTCAACAGCAGCTTTGTAGTGCAGATGGCCAGCACCACCATCCCACAGCTCCCTGCTCCAGATAAATACTGTGTGTGTGCGTACATGTATGTGCATGAGCACACACATGCATCTCACCTCACCTTGAACCTGAAGCCCTTAGCCTTCATGTAAATTTGTAGATTCAACAAATATAAGTCATGAGCCATGAGTCTAATGAAAATAATCTTTATGCCTGTACCTTCTGTGATTTTTCCTAAAGATGCCCACCCCAGCTCCAAAACTTGGACCTGTATTTATAAGTATAAAATAATTATTCTTTTATTCCCATTCATCAGCTGACTAATCACTGAGCCTGGCCCAACACACACACACACACACCCTAAAAAGACCCACTCTTCCCTCGAATTCCCTCTTGCTTGTACTTCCTCACACATGTGCTGCCAGGTTGGATTCTCTTTTCCTCATTCACTCTCTCCATTCCCCCCTCTGTCTCCCACGAGTTTGTATACAAGGCCACAAAACCCACACTGAATGAAAAGATACATGAAATGCCCATGGCCTGGACAGCATTTTGACTGGAGCAAGAGAGCTCCAAGAATGCAAACTATGGAAACTGAATCTAGACCAGTCCCTCCTACCTGTGATTTCTGTGATACGTTCTGATTTTAGAAAAGCAGAATTTGTTATACTACTTTTGGTAACGGACTAGGAAAAGGCTACCTTATGGATGGGCCAATGCTAAAAAGGAACACGTAGCAGAAATGCTCACAGAGAATAGTGAAGACCCTGGACAAAAATCAGATTGTCCTGGTCCCTGTGATGTCCTCTCCTCTGCTCTTTAATTCCACTTCCTCAACCACCACAGGAGCTCACCACGTGCTCTCCCAAGCCCTTGTCCTAGTACCAACCTCTGGGGCCTGAGGAACTCAGCAGAAGTCATTCACTCATCTACTTCTTAAAAGATGTCATAATTTTAATTAATATATGTACTATCAGAATATTTTTACAAGATGCAAAGTGTCATTTAGGACTGAGATAGAAGAGAGAGAGGTAAGAGACAATACAAGTAAGACAAGTAAGAGACAAGAGACAGGTAAGTTTGTGGACAGAGAACTGCTTTTCCAAAAAACCAACTGAATTTAACAGGGCTCACACATGCACACACGCCTCTCTCTTCCCCTCTCTAGTCCCTGGATAAGTAATGATGAGCTGTTAGGAAGCAGAAGTTCAGGAAGTCCAGTGCACTAGAAAGACAACTGAAGTCATGTATTTACTGGCCAGTTAATGCAGTAATACCTTGATACTCAACTGCTTTGAAACTCATCCAGTTTGGTACTCAAAGCTTTCTGAAGAGAAAATTTTGTCCCAGTACTTGGCATTTGATACTTGAGGTGCAAGCTAAAACTTACTGGTGTTGATTGTCTTGTTCCTTACTACCCTTGCCAGCCTAAACTATTTGCTTGGTACTTGTGGTTTTTGGTACTCCTCGAATACTGCCAGGGACCAGTTAATGATAAGCATGGAGGTCCCACTGTATTTCCAAATGTTTACTCATCTTTGGCACATTTCCCCATGTATAAATTGGGTATACATGATCATCAAATTACAGAGGGCTTAGAATTAAATCAAACAGGATTAAAGTAAAATGCCTGCACTAAATGTTACAGTACTGATTACAGGCCCTCCTTTCCACACTAGTTAGTCCAAAAACCATTACTCTTACACTCTCCGAATACACAATCCCACAAAACTATGCTCACTGGCAGTGACTGATAAGGCACAGGTGAGGGTTCTAGCTTCTAGGTACTCTCATCATTTGATCGAGATATCAATTATCAACTGATTCCAAGAACTGATCAACAATCATTTTATCAGCTCCACTTGTGTTTAGTGTAAGATTTTTTTTTTCTTTCCCTCTTCCCTCCCTAGACCCTTACCACTGACTCTTAGTCCATTAATGTTCCCTTTCCATTTCTTCAGTTGCTCTTAAATACTTCCCATAGTGTATCTTACCCTCCCATGTCTGCAGACTATGGAGTAGAGCATAAGGAATATAATCAGTTACAAAGTATCTGTTTTCACATCAAAGGGTACTTTGGTATTTTAGCATCAAGGGGTCCTCTGGCCAAAAAAGATCATTATTCAAGTTACTGGTATCCCCAAACCCCCATCATATGTGAGTCAACCAGTAAGTGTGATGAGAATTTAAAAAAAAAATCTGGGCCTGGTGGTGCATGCCTGTAATCCCAGCTCTCTGGGACCCTGAAACAGGAGGATGCCAAATTCAAGGGCAGCCTGGGCAACTTAATGAGGCCCTCCTTGTCTCAAAAATCAAAAAGGGTTGGTCAGTGTGAAGGTCCTAGATTCAATGCCCAGTATGGAGCAGGGGAGGTGATATCAGTTCGCATTACACGCACAAGCGGTCAACGCTATTTCAGGAAGCTTTAGTTTCGGTTGCAATGTTCCTACCATATAAGAATTAATTTCATATGGGGAGTCTGGCAAAGTTTGAAAGCCGTTAGAATGGGGTAAAGGAATAGACAGGATTCACAAAGGCCTGACTCTTCCTCCCCACAAACCACGTCACGGGAGAACTTTGGCCCGGTGAGTCTCGCCTCTGCCTGAGCCCCGCAGGCTCAGAACCCTTGAATAAAGTTCAGTAACCTGGCCTGGATGTGTCATCCTGTGAATCATTATCCGATTCCCTTCTCCAGATCCTACCCCTTTTTTCTCCCATTCCATCCCTACCTTCCATCCTACCCAGGACCAGGAGGGAATTCCCAGAGAGAAGCAAACGCTTCCGCCAGGAGTGGACGCTCTACACTCCAGCATTTCCACGGGGATGGACAGAGACACCTGAGCCAAGACGCCCGCCTAGCGCACTTCCACCTTCCATTCCGTGCTGCCCAACAGCTCTCGGCAGGAGCCGCTCTCCCCAGCTGTAGGGACTCTCTGAAAGGCAAATCCACGTACTCAGTTTTCAGCCTCCACGGCCTCTCTCACCATCGCCTTGCACAGCCCCTTACTGAGTGGCTGGGCGAAAACACCACGTAAGATAACCTTGTACTTCTCCAAACATCCCAGAAAGAGCGCCTGGCGGAGGACGCTTCTCCTCTCCTCCCCCTCCATTCCCAACGCTGCCCGAATTCAGTCCTCAAAACACGACGGTCCGGGAAAGTGAACTTGGCCGCTAGGACGGAGACACCTGGGTGGGGGCGAGGGCGAGCGGACGGGGAGCGCAGGACGCAGTTTTAGGAGGCTTTCGCCCGAGGCTTGCCTCCTAAGTAGAAAACCTAGTTGAGTAAGAAAAGAAAGAAAACAAAGCCAACGAACCAGGAGCCACAACCTGGCTCCCCTACGCCTGGAGCAGAGCAGAAAATACTGTGGGAGTGCAGCGTGACCCGGGGGAACCGCGGGGCGGGAACAAAGCCCCGGAGGCCGCTGCGTGGGGGGCGCGCCCGGACCCCCGGACCCGCTGGGCTCCGTGGAACCGAGGCAGGGCCGCGGGCCATGGGATGCAGGTGCGCGGGTGCCGGGGCGCGCGCAGCAGGTCCCACCCCGCGCCCCCCACCAAGCCTGGAGGTGGCCGGACCCTCTCCCGCCCTCGGTCCCGCCGCAGCTCTCACCAGAGCGTGGATCGAAGGTGACCACAAACACAGCCACCACCTGGTCCTCCTCCACGTCGCCCAGCTCCGGATGCCCGGGTTGCAATAGCACCTCGGGGGGAGCCGGTTCCCCGGGCTCCCGCCTCCGCGGCGGCTCCGCGGCCGACCGCGCGCCTCCGCCGCCGGCCCGGGCCCGGCCTCCAGCCTGCAGCTCCGGGCCCTGCGGCGGGGACACGGCGGGGCCCTCGGCCCAGCGCAGCAGCGGCGCCGCGTCTCCCTGCTCCACCATGGCGAAGCGAGGAGGAGCCGCGGGCGCGGGGGCGGGGCGCTGCGGACCGGGCCCTCCCTTTGCCTCCTCTCTTCCTCTGGCCCCGAAGTCGGCACCTGCCCCTCACGCCGCCGGAGGGGTCTTTCTCCCCGGGAGACCGAGATGGGCTCCGCCACCCGCTTGCCGGCCCGGAAGCCTCCGAAGTGCATCTGTGTGCTTAGGTGCTCGGTGCAGGGAGCGCGGTGCAGACGCGCATCCTGGGGTCCGTCCACCTGCGCGTGGGCTGAGACACCTTCCCACCCAGGACTTCGAGGTCTAACTGTTCCGCTGTACATTTTTATACGTCACCATTATTTTTATTAAAGTCCCGTGGTCACAAGGACCGCGACACATGTATTATATAACCCTGCATGGGTGGCAAAAGCAGCTTCTAAGTAGAAAAGGGAAGCAGAGGAGCCCTGGCTACTCAGATGTTTGGAACATACACGTGAATGAGGGCTGCAAAGGGCAACAGGATGGGATTTAGGAACTTTTCTCTCCATAGAACAAGCTGATTGGGGTGGAGATTATGCGTTTACTTCCTGGTATATATACAACTTGAGGGTCCGAACCTGGGAAGTGCTGGGGCTTTTGCTGGAGCACCCTTGGGAGTCAATCTGGTGGCTAAGTAACTTTCAGAGCAAATACGAATGAAAAATAGGAATAGCCATTAAAACAAATGATGAAGTGGCAAGAGAGAATGGTTCAGGTGCACCATTAGTCTGAAGTTGAGGGGCGCCCCTGTTTGCCGTTCTCAGAAGGACCCAGTGGGTTTCTGTTAGGTGTTGCTCCAGGGGCCTTTATGAAGATGTGTCCCACATGCCAGGGGTGTGTCCCAAGGAGATAATCAATGATGACTTTCCAGGGCTCTTGCTTTCAGTCCAGAATCTATAACAATAAAGCATTTCACTCTAAAATATAGGAAGTGCTTTCATTATTTGCATATTTAGTTCATCCTGACCCCTACCCACCAAGGGCAAATGACCTCCTATTTCCCGCCCTGTGGAGTGCAAAGATTGTCACTAAATGGAAGGGGAGTCCTAGGCATTCCAGGGCCAGGGCACTGGCTCATTCAAGTGCTATACACAAACTCTTCAGGCCTACCAAAGCCTGCTACTTCAGAAGGCCAGCCAAAGCTGTGTTGAGGCGTTCACAATTTTATCTATAAATGTATAGCAGGGATTCATATAAAATCCTTAACAACTTCCAAAGCCATCAGCTCAGGACAAATGGACTTTCAGCCCTGTAGGACTTCCTTTATTGATTTTTGTGGAAGTATCTCCTCCCTCCCAGATGCTCCAGTATCTCCTAGTTTTAACACCCTCAGGTTATACGAATATCAGGAAATAAAATACTGGTCTCCATCCCAATTTGCTTTATTTGGAGAACAGTAAAATTGGCAAACCCTAACCCCACAGCTTTTTTTCAGCCTTGTGTATACTGTATATTCTAGCTCATCAACCAATATGCCCATTTTTATATTCCCAGTGCCTTGCATAATAAGTGCTCAATAAATATTTGTTAAAGAAAAATGAAAGTAGAGACTGATAACTGTACAACAAGCTGTCTTGCTAGGCTTTACCTAGTATCTTACACACAGTTGGAGCCTAAAAAATGTCGATGATGGCAGTGACACCTCCCTTAGCACATACATTCACAGTCTGAAAGAGGCTTTCTCCTGACATTCAAATTTATCTTCTCTGTCGACAGAATTTCACAAGATGCTAGCAAGGAAGTGAATTGAATTTAGCTACTAGAACCACTCTGCCGAGGAGCAAGTATGGAGGCCAAGAAGGCAGGAAAGGTGACCACATTTGGAGACCCTAGGATGATGTAATATTTCAAAATGAGTTCACCTAGAACATGGTATGTCTGAGTTTTTAAATAAATTTATTTTACTTTCCAAAATACTAAAAAATCTGCATTATGTAAACTAAGAGCAGAAAAGTGTTTTGACCTATAATCTTAACACTCAGATGACTGCTATTAAGATTTTCCTGGGCTGGGGATTTAGCTCAGTGGTTCCGGCGCCTGCCTTGCAAGAGCAAGGTCCCGAGTTCGATCCCCGTTACCGGAAAAAAAAAAAAAAAGATTTTCCTTATCCTAGTTCATCAATTCTAAGATGCAAAACCTTCCAGTCTTTAACATTGCTATGGTGACTTGTGGTTACATCTAGTTCTTATATAGATTTGGGGTTGCCTTTGTCAGTCATCTGGAAGAACCACCAACCTGAGGGTATTTTGACTTAAATTCTCTGCTTGACATTCTTTGGGCAATGCTGGTACTGTGAATTCAAATGCAAGCTAGCTTGAACACTGGCTTGCAGTTCAAGTTGGTGGCTACATTTTTCCCCCCTCCTAGTGACAAAGTTGACACAAGGCAAGCTTCCTTATGTGGTCTTCTCTGTGTGGGAGGTTTGTTTGCCACTGTTTTATATGGGATATCCGATTGGACTTCTCATCTTGGACAATTTTTATTCTTAGTGGCATGTAAATGTAACAGTGTATCTTAAAACAGATGATAGGTTAAGTGTTTTTCTTTTCCATGCTTACAAACTAAAGTCATGTATATCAAGTGTGTGTTCTTTTTCCGTTAATGTCAGAATGTGAACATTTTGCCATCCTTCTAGAAACTTTTTATATGCATCATCTTTCATTTTTATGGTTTCCATTAGATAGATCTTGAGTTTACTTAATCATCTCACTGTCAGATAGTTAAGTCTTTGGCTTTTTGTTGTTGTGACTACAGTTTTGACCATTTCATTCTTACTGAGCCTACTGACCATATAGCATTGGGACGGCTGTGAAGAAGACAGAAATGTCCCTTTGAATCAGGCTCACAGCCCAGCACAGAAAGCAGCTACCAGCCCAGAAATGAAATCTGGAATGAGAGGAGACAGGCAAGGCGAATGCAATAGGCCATTCGGGCTGCTGACTTTGGATTTTGCTGGAGGTAGCAATACCAACTTAAAGTGCATTCATATTATTTAGGCTCTTGATTGTTTTATGTTTGGTGATTTAATCTAATTATGTTTTCAAATATATGTTGGTGATGTGTGGTTTCTCTTCAGTACACTGTCCATTTAATTTCTTAACCTACTTAATATTTATATTGAGATATATCTATGTATGTATATATTTGAAGTGGTTTCCAATGGGGAAGCCCCATCAAACATATAATACAGTATCGCTATTTTTTCAGATTCTGAATGACTCAATCTTAATTCATTCCTAATGTGATAGAACTTCACTTTATTACGTTCAAGGTTTTTTAGTTTTAGTTTTATGGCTTTAGTTTTATACTTTTGCGTGGAAAACAGTCTACCCCAAGGGTGAATAAAAGTTTCCACCTGCTGTGATATCAATTGGAATAGGTAGATTTTCCTGCTTCTGTCCTTCCTGCCTTGTCTCTAAGGCCTCAGAACCAAGGTTTGTCAGAGTGGAGACTGGGAGCTCCCTCATTACTGGGCTGTGTGTCTGCAAGAGGTGAGCTTCTCTGAAGTACATGGTTTAAAGACACAGATAAGACCTGAAATGCAAAGTTGGTTGTCTTCTTACACATCTCACCTTGGAGATCTTTGACCACCCACCTGGAAGCAACTCCTTTACTATAAGCAAAGCGTTAAGACTTAAAAAAAAAAAGATGAAATTCTGAATATTTTGGACAAAACTGAGATATTTTTAATATATCTTCTCAAATCCACCCACAAATGATTTATTGAAATCCACTATGCAGCAGGCATTAGTGGACAAAACTTCCCCTTTTGCTGCAGTTGCCACAAATTACGTGGACTTCCAGTTAACACATCATCTCATCTCCATCGGGAATCTTATGCCTAGGTTGCATGCCTGTGGTTTTTAACATGCACTGAAGCAGGGAGGAAATTTTCTGTGATGTAAAGTGGCTAAGAATGAAGAAAAGAATAAAGTATGACAGCAAAAATGGTGACACTGGACTCCCTTGGGTCATCAAGATCAGCACCAGCCCAATCCTCATTGCTGTATTTTCCACACCCAGACTATCTGTTCCATATTTGTTATTTACCTTTCTTATCCTAAAGCCATGGCTACAGTCACTATCTCATTATTCCAAGTGGCATTACAAAGAAAAGTGAATGGTGTGCATTTCCAACAGAATTACTGCTGATAACACAAGATCTAAACCATAGCATTGACACAGTTCCTCCGTAGGGAAACAAGGTAGCCACACAAATGAGTAACCGACAAATACTGCAAGCAAGAGAGGAAAGGCAGGAAATGAGGGTCAAAAAGATAACCTGGTCTTCCTGAGTAATAATCAATCACCCCCTGCACCCTGCTTCCAGGCCCGTGATACAGTCAGTATTTCAGGTCAGATCCTACTCTATTGAGAGCAAAGCCAGCCCCTCACTGAACTAGAGAGGCAGGGATGACAAGCTATGAAATGTGAGGGGAAACTGACTAACAGCAAGGCTAAGGAATCCTGTTGCCTAGCCCTCATCTGTGAAACAAACAAACAAAAAGCCCTCCAAAATCCCACCTCATTTCTGGGTCCAAAATTTCAGTTGATAATTTTTTTTTTACTGGTAACCTGCAAGTCTTACCTTTCCTTTGATGATTCCTTTTCTTGGCCCCTGGGGGATGATCAACTTTTAACAAAGGCGAGCATGCTACAAATATATTACCCCTGAGTAAGGCAAAGTCCTAACAAAGAGCACACAATAAAGGATGGATAGAGGTATACAGGGGATAGATGTCTTAAAAATGGGAAGGGGTCCTGGAGACTAAGGGCCAGAGGAGAGGGAGAGAGGAAGAGGAAATAAGTAGAATAAAGATATGCCATGTACAGGAACCGAATAACCTCAATGAATGTAAACATTTTATGTCATAAGCGTGAGCTAAGATTAATAATAACAAGAATGAAAATGGGGAAAGGGGATTTAGAGGAGGAGGGAGGGAAAAAGGAGGGAAGAGGAAGGAGATTAAAAAGAGAATTAAGCTGTATTATGTACATGTAACCACTTGCAACTTTGACTGTAAACTGCATGTATTACAAACATGAACTAAGAAAAAGAATTACCTGGGACAGTTTGTGTGGGTGAGAGGGGGAAGGGAAAGTCTCACAGCTGAGCCTACTTACAAAGGTGGAGCATGAAAAGAATTTTAGCTGAAGAAACAAAAGCAACACCCTCCCCCCCGCAAAAAAAAACCAAGAAAATGATCTCATCTCCTCAGTCCTCATTGAGAGGAGGACGTGGTGAAGGGGCTGATGAAGAGACAGAAAATGGATAGAAAACGGTGACAAGCATAGGTAAACTGAAGTCTACCAAGAAAAAAAGAAAATATTTCTTTCAAGCTCCTCAAGTTGCTTGGTTCCTTAGTCTCTCCCTGCCCCCTGCTTCCTCTCTCTATGTTTGACAGGTAAATAATTTCTCATGCTAGGTTCCTCCAGATCCTTTTTCACAGACTGTCTTTTACATGGTTTCCTCCTATAACATAATACATATCTTACAGTTGCAAGCTTGTGTCCTTTGACCAGTAGTCCCTGGCATCATCATTCTATTCTCTGCTTCTGTGAGTTTGACTTAAGTTTGACATTATTGGCAAGATCCTGCGACACTGGTATTTCTGTGTCTGACTTCTTTTTCTTGGCATAATGTCCTCCAGCTTTATCCATGCTGTAAAATGGCAGGATGTCCTCTTGTTTGTGGCTGAATAATATTTCATTCTACCTGGGTATCACATTTAAAGAAATCTATTCATCCATCAGTAGACACTGAGTTGTACCATATCCTAGCTGTGCTGAGTAGTGCTGCAGTGAACATGGGGTTCACACATGTCTCTTAGATACTGGTTTCGTTTCCTTTGGGTGTACCATTTGTATTTAAGTTTCAGAGGTTTTTTACCCTTCCCATGGGGGCTCTGAGAAAGAAATTAAATAATGTACATTAGGACCGGGGATTTAGCTCAGTGGTTCCATCGCTTGCCTTGCAAGCGGAAGGACCTGAATTCGATCCCTGGTACCTGAAATAAAAATAATAATGTATATTAAAGCTACTTAAAATTAAAGGAAAAAAAATTTTAAATAAGGCTTTTTTGGGGCAAAAGCAATTGCCATTTTAGAGTGCCCAACATCCAATTCTGTGCATTGCTTATTTTTCTAGCCTTTCTTTTGTCAGTTTAAAATTTTGTTCAGTTTTCGCCAGGTGTGATGGTTCGTGCCTATAATCCCAGCACTCAGGAGGCTGAGGCAGGAGGACTGCCATGAGTTCGAGGCCAGCCTGGCCTACATAGTGAGTTCAAGATCAGCCTGAACTAGATAGTGAGACCCTGTCTAAAAAAATTTTTTTTAGTTTAATTCTCTAAAAGTTTTAACTGCAAAAACCAGGGAGTTGGAGGATTCCCGAATTAAGGCAGATATATATAGCAAAGGTCTAAGGGTGTGTCCCCATCAGGGATATGAATTCCAGCCAAGATATTAGGGCTTGTTTAAGGATCATTATGATGGCCAGGTGGTGCTCAATTCTAATAACCTGCTGTTGCCAATGGGTGGGTAGAGAATGGAAAGGAGGAGAGGGTAATATTTATATATGACAGGTGTAATAGAGTGAAAATAATTTCCTTTCCCTGAGTTTGTTCCCATAGTGGTTAATGGATATTTTAAAATCCATGTTAAATTAAAGGAATTCAACTATCTCACTAGCATTTTGTGTAGCACATAGGTGCAGGGAGATTCTGCAGAGTATCCAAAGAATTCTGTGCGGGAACTGATTTAATTGCTCAAAGAGTTACTGGAGCTTTCTTGAATCAGAATGGAAATAAGGATAAGCTGAGGTCTTACTGATTTGTGGTATTTAAGGGAGAAATTAAGTGTGTCATGCAGCTGTTAGGTGGTAGAGAGGCAAGCTGAAGTTGTGGAACTTGTTACTTTCAGTTCTTTTCTCTTTCTGTCTGTATATTCATTGTTCCCTTCTGAGCGATCTCCTCGCTACATTCCAATCACCTTCACTGAGATGGATGACCAAGGTGTTAACAAAGGGGTAAGTCAGAAATTAAACATTTCCTTTCGTGAAGAAGAGTCTGAGAATGAGGGGCAGAAGACAACACAAGGGAGCAAGGAGGCCCTGAGCCAAAGCCCCAAGAAGAGCGAGGTTCAGGATGTGAAAACCTCAAGCCCAGGCACCAAGAAAGATGAGGCTCAAGATCCAGAGACCTCAAGTCAAAGCCCCAAGAAGGGCGAGGCTCAGGATGTGAAGACCCCAACCCAAAGCCCCGAGAGGGGGGAGGCTTGGGATGTGGAGGTTCCCAGGACTCCCCTCAAGAACATATCTGAACTCCGGACATCTCAGGAGAAGGACAAGGAACGTCCAGGTTCGCTTCTGAAGACTCCAGGGCCACACCATCCCAGGTATCCTGCGACACCAGCACTAGCTGCTCGTAGGAACAGCCTGCAGCAGGATGCCAACACTTCCACTCCCAAAGTAAGCAAGCCATGGGAAGGGAAGCCCCACATCCAGCTCTGTTTTGCTTTAGCTCAGCTGATGAAGAGAGTATTAGGTAGTTTTTGTGCATGTATATTGTCTTACAGACTGTGTGTATCCTCAGGTACATGTTTATTGGTAGAAATGAGGGAAAGCTTATAGTTATCAGAAAAAAAATTTCTCAAAACCACTGCCTGTAACTATTTGCTGTTGTCACAAATAAGTCTTAAGTAGGTTAAAGTTCTTAGTTGAAGAATATTGGAACTGGAAGAAATACTAAGATCTCCAGCCCACCTGTGCTCTTTATATAGAGAAAGTCGAGATAACAACTGGCTCATAGCTTTGCGAGTGGTAGAGGCAGTACTAGACACCTGACATTTTGGGTTTAATCTATTCTTTTCATTATGGCAGTAGACTGTATTTGGGGTAATTACTAATGTTTCCCAATATTAGAATGTTCATGTTCACTGTTTGAACATGCTCATATCTCTGCTGCTGTTCTCTCCAGCAAGAAACTGTTTTCCCCTCCTTTGCTAATGGAGAACAGACTCTTTGATTATGTGTGAGCAAAGAAGTAACTTGTCGATATTAAAAAAACTGAAGATGGCAAATACACAGTGGTTGCTAATAGCATATTCCTTTACTCTTGCTATGATTGGTCTCTTGTTACAGCCCTCAGGTTATTAAAGCCAAGGTTGGGCAGAGTTGCTTCTAATAGGCTCTGGTGGCATGGTGTGTGACCCCTAGGATGGGTATTATCTCCACTCCCTGTTGGCTCAGCGTGAGGCACTTGGGATCATTATAATAACATCTGTGATTGCAGACAGTCACTGCCGACAGTCACTGTCAGCCTGGCTCTAGTTCCTGCTGAGTATGCAAACCATGCTTAACACGAAATACTAAGCTGCTTGTCTGAACTGTCAACAAATTAATATGCTCAGGTGGCCATCAGGATTCTCAAAGGTTCCAATACCAACCAACTGATCATCAATTTTTTTGAGAATCCATTATGGCTAAGGAGCATAATAACTCTGTCCCTCAAAGATTTTACAAGTTGGAGGTGGAGTGGGGATGTTGGGCCAACACACACTGTGATAAGTGCTTTAAGAGTGGTCAGAGTTCTCTGAGCAGATTATCAGTGGGATAATAAAGGTAAAGGAAGCATATAAATGGCAATGAAGGTTGGTAGAGTTTTAGTATGTGGTACAGAATGGGCTGAGAATGTGGTTCTAATTAGATTACACAAGCAAGACAACATGGCATGGTATGTATATTGCATTTAATTATTCAGTTTAAGTAAACACCTTGGTGTGTTAGCAGACCCTGGCAAACTCATTTACAGTTAGTCCTCAACCAACATTTGAGTTGCGAACTTTCACAGGTTTGCTGTATAAGATTCATAGGTGTACAATATAAGACTCACTTTGTTGGATCACAAATGAATCTCACTTATGAACAGTCTCCCAAAATGGAATTCGTTTGTAATTCGGGGACTTACTGTACTGCCTTTAGAAACTGCTCCTAAGTGAATAAATGAAAATGAGAACTGAAGGCAAAGGGAAAAGTATCTTCCAAGTTATGGAGAGGAAGGAGCATGCTGTACTGTAAAAATGCTGATCATTCAATACAATGGATCTGTGCATGAGAGGCAGAAAGTGAGGCTGGGGAGACAGGCAAGAGCCAGGTCAAGATTTTATCCTGCAAGGAATGATAGAGCCATTAAATGCTGTGAGGAGAGGCATTGAAAAAAATCATGGTGCTCATGTGTGAGATGCAATGGACCAGGAGAGAGTTTGGAGGCTGGGCAGTATTTATAATAGCTCTGTTGAAAATGGAGAAGGCCTGAACTAGGACAGGAGTAGGCAGTGGAGGCGAGAGAGGTTCAGGAATTATAACTGACTTGATGGAGAGGTTGAGGGAACAGGAGGGATAACTGAGAAGGTTCTGGTTTGACTGGCTGAATAGAGGTTACTTTGAATCAAGCTAAGAAACACCAGAGGATATGTAGGTTTGGAGAAAAGCAGATATGTGGTGTAAATGGTTAAATGAATCAGGCCACCGTGGTGGCACCTGCCTGTAAATCTCAGCACTTGGGAGGCTGAGGCAGGAAGATCATTGTGAGTTTGAGACCAGTCAGGGTACATAGTGAGAACATAGTGAGATCCTGTCTCAAAAAAAAAAAATGTCTAGGATATAGGAAAACAATTGGAGTCAGGTCCATATTTGAATAGCAATGGCATTGAGGTAACTGCTGAAGCCATGTTTGGGGATAAAGTTACATAATGTATGTGCCAGAGTAAGAAAGGAAGTAGTGCAATCTTGGATAATGCCAAGATTCAAAGGATAGGATGACACTACAGCTTGAGAAGGAAGCTGGAAATGCAACAGAGAAAGTTCGTATTTTATGAAAACAGTTTTGATTAGGGGAGATTAGAGGAGAGAGGGTGATGAAAACTGGTGAGGCTTGCTGAAGCCAAGGCTGCATAGGAAAAGAAGGGTTGGTTTAGTTCAGCCTTGCCCAAGAGATAGAACCAGAAATCATGGGAAATCAACTTCAGTTCTCCATAAGGAATTCCTAGCAGAATTACTGAGAGATAGAAAAGCATCCTTCAGAGATAGTAAGGTCCATGTGGCTAAATGCATTGAACACTAGCTGATGACCACTGACTGGAACACTGTAGAAGAGAATGAAGCATCAGGGGACTAATGGTACCAACTGGACATTTGAAGTCTCCCAGTTCCCTAGTGTAATGTGTTTTTTTGTGACTGTTGCTTTCTTATCATTTTCAGATGTCAAGGAGCTGTTCCGCAATTTCCCCATCTCCCTCAATCATCTGTACAGAGCTGTCAGTCAGGGATTTATTGACTCTCTTTAGAGCTCATTTATTCTCTCAACCTCTGTATCTTCAGGGTTCCAGCTGCTTCACTTCCATGCAGACTTTCTTTTCATAATGGGTTTTCAGCCATCCCCACATCACAGGGGAAGCTCACAAATTCTACTGGCTTCATATTTCCAGAATAGAAATTCTGATGTCTTCCCTGAGGTGAATACAGTGAACCCTCAAGTTACAACTGGCCTGACATACAAACAACTTGGGTTAATTAGGTTAATGAAAATTCATCTGCCTCTTGTTATCGAGGTAAACATCCGGATCTCAGCTGTATTGACTTACAACCAACTTGAGTTACAACCAGCCCTTGGGAACTGATCAAGTTCATAAGTCAAGGGTCCACTGTCCTTTGCCTACTTCTTTGTGAAAATTTTATAGGCTCTTTTTATTTTCCTTGAAACATGGCCAGAGAACTGTGCAGCATTCCAGGTGTGAGTACCCCATCATTTCGTGTCATAGATGCATTTTACTTTCCATCTGATAGCATTACAGAAACAGTTTCTCAGGGAACAATTTACTGTAATTCTAAGTTCATTTTCTGAGACACAATGATAACTGAGAAACAATGTATAGCATAGTTTTATTTTGAACCAATAGGCCATCTTCACAATAAGCTTACTGTAAACTCATGAGTTTGTCAGTGAGGGCTTTGACCAAATCCCCCAGGCTTATGGACTCTACAAACTGTACGATGTATAAAAAAAACTCTTGTACATGTTAGGCAAGCACTCTACCACTGATCTACATCCCCAGCCTAACATTTTTCTTCACTTAAAAAAAAGGTATGCCGGAGATTTAGCACAAGGTCCCGGGATTTAGCACAAGGTCCTGAGTTCGATCCCCAGTACCAAAAAAAAAAAAAGTTACTGTGTGTACTTGGTAGCTTCCCGTGTTTCTGTTTATATCAATCATTTATTGGATATATATAAGTCCACTATTTATAGACTCATATTCTTAATGAGTCATATTGTAGTCTGGTTTCTGCTTCTACACTGAAGGGTCAGGGCAGAGACAGAATTCTTTTATAAAGAGTTTCACAGTGCAACGCTTGCACCTTCAGGTTCCAAACCAGCACCAGTGTGCTACTGTATACTTGTTAGATCTACAGCCAAGGTATTCCTCTGGGCCCTGACACTTAGTGCTGCCTTAGAATTCTTTGTTGTTGACCTTTCCCCTTGCACCGTGGGTTAGCTTTAGTTAGGGTCAGGCTTATGCCCTCTTACTGTACCACACTCCCATTTAGCTGGTTAGTGATTGCAGAGCCCTCAAATCTTAAGGGATTACATTTGAGTACTATATTTCATTCTCTGTATCCTACTTCATGGAGATATTCTCATTTAAAGCTATATTTTAAGGGAAATTGGGAGCTTCTCTTTGCACATTTAGGCAGTCCATGAAATCGTTCCTTTACAAAAATGCTTCTTTCAGAGACAGTGATGAACTGGTGGTTAATAGACTGTTTTCCTTAAGAGCTGCAATTCATTCTGTAACCTTCAGTGTCTATCATGGTAACTGCTACTTAGTAGGCACCAAACAAATATTTGGACGAATAATTGAGAAATTAAAGTGTTAACTATGAGAACATAAGGACGAGATCTTTTATAGAATCATTTTTGTCTAAAAGTATTTTGTTTAAATGTTCTCATCTTTAAAAATTGGAAGTAGGATGAGAATTGGTGAATTGCTTAGCTAGCTGGGACCATTGCCCAGGCAAAGGGACAAAGGTTAACTAAAGTACAGATTCTTGTGCTGACCATGTGCATCAGACGATTTAGAGTCTGTAACCTGATGGAGTGTGCATGCCTGCCATCCCAGCACTTGGGAGACTGAGGCAGGAGGATCACCAAGAGGTTGAGCTCACCTGGGCTACATTGTGAGGCTAGCCTAGGCTATAGTGAGACCCTGTCTCAAAAAAACAAACAAAAGAACATTTAAAGACTGGATTCCCCAAGAGGACCAGTTCTAGCTCAACTAGTCTGCACTGAACCAGATCATGTTTAATGCCCCTTTAGCAATTATGTTCTTTGGTTCAAATATTAACTAGCTGATATGGGACTTTTTTCTTTTTTAAACTGTTGTCTAACTTGCCTTTGTCATTCTTATTCAGAGTCTGTTGAGCCAGCAGATGAGTTCTTCAACAAGGAAGGTCCTCCCCGGAAGCTCTAAGCATACGTGGCTCACACCTGGTTACCTCATGGATGAGGCCTCCTCACTGTCTCTAGTCAGTATTAACCCTTTCACCCCTGAGTCCTATAAGAAAATACTCCTTCAATCAAAAGGCAAGAGGAAAGTCCCAGAAGATCCGTAAGTGCATAGTTTGTCTCTAATTTTTGAGAACGCCTATGGTCAAGGAGTAAGAAGAGAGCATTAAAGATTAGGATCAATAACTCTGAATAAAACTGAAATATGTTTATATATTCCCCCTCCCTAGGTTAATGTGGTCGCAGAGATTCTGGCATCTTTCCATCCTCATGTGTACTGAAGTTGGCTTCTCGATAAGGCAGCAGGGTGGAGTAAGCATCAGCTCTCTGACTTCAATTAGAAAGTTGAGTTGGTTCAGTCCTGCCTTCAAGGGGTCTTCTCTGGTTAACATGAGGCCAGCACTTGGGGAAGGTGCAGCTCACATTTCAAACAGTACATTGTTGCTTTGAGTCTAGCTTGAGTGATTGCTGATGAGAGTTGAAGAGAAAGGATTTGAACTTCCCTGTAAGCAGTCTCTGTAAGCAGACTGACTGAAGAGAAAAAGACCGTGGTATTTTCAGAGATGGTAAAAAGTGAAAAGCCAAACTACCCTATTCCACAAAGGCAACAGAGTCATAGACACCATCCAAATAAGGACTGTGCATATTACTCAGCAATATTTGTTCATTATGCTTCTACAATGTTCTTTTTTTTTTTTCCTGGCAGAATGAAAGCATCTCTAAAATGCGGTGATCATTTGTGTTCGTATCTACTCAGCAAATGCAAAGCTAACAATCTGAACTTTCCAGAGAATTTAACCTGTCATGTTGAATTGTTTCTTTGGAATCAATAACTGTATTACTGAGCCTTGTGAATAGGTTTTCCTAACATTGTATCCTGAATCTTAAGTAAACAGGAGTTCAGCCCAAGTATACCCAGTTTACTGTGTATACCAAGAATTCTGCTGGTTCTAATTCTTAAGTCTTTATAAATCATTAGTATCAATGGCTTCCTCTGAAGCCAGCAGGTAAAGACAGCTAATTTGATTCCTGGAAACAAAAGTGGTAATACTGTAGTAACCATTCAGAGCTTTGGAGAGGTTTTTTTCTCCCTTATTTATTGTGGTAGTGTCATTTTATAAAGTGTCAGAATGTGGCATTCATTTTAGGGCACAGATGTTCATTAGTTCATTTCTTCTATATATCCTTCACTTGCACTTTCTACTTTGTACTTCTCCAAACAAAAATCTAGTTGGCTGATCTATAATTTGAAATCTTGCCTAAAGATCCAGAATACAGCCACTCATAAAAAAAGAATGTTTGTCAGTGACTACTGTTTATTGAAAAGTAACTGAAGACCTCTTAGCCAGGTCTATACTTATGCTCTTCAGTACTTAATCTACCTGTGAACCAACCTGAAAAGCCAAGTTCTGGGAGAAGTGGGTGTTGGAAAGAGGGTGTGGCAGTGAAGAGCAAATGCTTTGGGGTCAGGCTTGATTTCAAATCCCAGGTCTGCCACGTGTTGTATAACCTAGAGTTACTTAACCCCTTTCTGACTTGGTTAGCTCATTTGGGAATAATAATACCCACTTACATTTTAATGTATGCTCTGTGTTCTCCTTTACTTCCAATTCTTAGAACGTGGTGTTCTACTAAAACTCCCACTCCTTTTCCTTAGCCAGGTCCCACTCATTCTTGGAATCTTAGCTTGTAAATCCTCTCTTCTGGAAAAGCTCTTTACTCTTGAAATATTTACATAACTGGGCACTGTCCATGTTATCCTTTGTTGTCTTATTACTCTGTCCTACCTCCTTGTATTGAAATTCCCTGGTTATCTCTGCCCCCAAGTACAAATCAAAGAGGGGAAAGAATTGTCTTACTCTGACAGCCCCAAAAACCTAGCATAGTACTAGGCTTAATAAGTATGTTAATAATAATTATAATCATGCATAGATACAACTTTTTTTTTCAAGTGAGGAAGCTGGTGCAGAGAAAGACAAAGTGCAACGAATGCAGCCTCCCAAGGTAAGCATGGTTCTGTCAGTCACAGTACAGACATTTTAGCTTCTTCTTTCCCCCTCCACCGCTCCTCCCGTCTCCTCATGCTCTCCCCTCTCTTTACTCAATTCTTTCTCCTTTCTTTCCTCCTTCTTGCCTCCCTCCTTTCTGACTCTGTTCTCTCTCTTCTACCTTCGTTCATCCCCTACCCCCTTATAGCTTCACCAATGTGCATTGCAAGTGAATTTACAGGTCAGTGTTTATAGTCTTAACCAGGTGATAGCTGATGTGTATATGGCTGAACTGTTATCTAGAGTATTTTGTAAGTAAAGGGATTTCTTTTTTGCTTCCATTTTTTGATTCAGGGAAAATTTTTACTCTTGTGGGATAGAGAAATGATTAGAAAATGAAGATATTTTTGGGTCCAAAAATGGAAAAATAGAATGGAGAAAAATGGCATAGATGCAGAGATGTATATGTAAAATTTTAGCTCTTAAATGTGGCTATTTTTTATAATGTCTGCAGCCTTTGATATAGTATCCCTCATCTGGTAATCTAAGAAAACTATACTGTAAATATTACCCCTAGTCCTTGCAAGCACAAGGTCCTGAGTTTGATCCCTGGTACCAAAAAAAAATTATCCCTAGAAATACTGTTAATAATAATTATAACCATGCATAGATACAACTTTTTTTTTTTAAGTGAGGAAGCTAGTGCAGAGAAAGGCAAGCGCATTTGCTGGGCAAGTGGCAGAACCACTGAGTTAAATCCCTGGCCCCTTATTTTGCTCTTACAATTAAGATAACAGTTCGATAACTTAATGGTTGCCTTTTCTTTTCATTGTTAAAGGTTTAAATTCATGGGAAACAATTTTGCAAAAAAACAATTCTTGATTAGGAGTTGGACAGAGGACTAATGGGACAGCAAGTCTAGACAGAAGAAGCATAGTTTAAGATTGGCTAAGGACATTGGAAATTATAGATCATGCTGATAAATGATAAAGACCATTTAGAATTGGATGTTAAAAATGAACTAGTAAGAGTATTTTAAACTGCTAAAGTTAGAGAACAATTATTGCTAATTGAGCACACTGGGAAAAGATTTCTTGGGAGACAAATCATCTTGGATTTAGATTTACATGAATTTATGGAGATTTTTATAATAATTTACTAAAAATTTCCTATGTTCTAGGGATTTGTACTATGGTACACATTGCATATCATATGTGTAAAAATATTATATATTCTCAAATAATATTCACAAGTATTCTCTGGAACGATCGCCGTGATCTTCATTTTAGACAGAAAAACTGATGAAAATGTCCAATCTTATTAACTACCTGGGAAATAAGTGATGTTACTAGTTGTCCAGTAGGGGGAGGATTTGCTCTACCTGAGCATATACTGTATTCTGAACTAATCTGACAGTTTTGTTCCTAGACCAAGGCTTTTGGGGGAAACAAATTGAAACAAGATAGTTTATTCAATTTGAGATGAAAATATTAGCATCCAGACCTTGAGAGAGGTAGAGAAGGGTCAAGGGAAGGATTTGTTTTAAACATGCCCCCACGTTTCTTGCTATTTCTTCAGCTGTGGACAGTAGCTCTGGGCGTGAGAAGATATGTTCCTTGAGGAACATATAGAATAGAATAGTATGACCTGATAGAGGAAAGCACTTTAAAAAGTAAGGAAAGGTCAGTACAGAATTGTATGGAAGGTTAAAAAGAACATGCATGCCTATAATCCTGGCACCTAGGGAGGCAGAGGCAGGAGGATCACTGCAAGTTCAAGGCCAGCCCGGGCTGCATAGTTCAAAGCCAGCCTGAAATATACAGTGAGCCCCTGTCTCAAAAACCACCCCACCCTCCCCTGCATTGGTAGGTATGAGGTTATTACTACTGTGAATATTGACATAAATAGAACCCATTAATTTGGCTCAAAAGGTTTTTTTGAAAATTTAAATCAATTTTGGAATGTAATATGGTTAATTTTATTGCTCACAAGGTTAGGAAGAATTATTTATAACTCCTTTTTATTAAAATATTTTAGAAAAGTATTCTACGAGGAGTTAACATGGCTTCCCGCTATAAAAAGGAATTCTTGGAGCTAGAAAAAATTGGAGGTGGGGAATTTGGTACAGTCTACAAGTGCATTAAGAGGCTGGATGGATGTATTTATGCAGTAAAACACTCTACTAAACCTTTGGCACTATTATCAAATGAGTGAGTACCTTTGAAATGCACTGTAAGTACAAACGGATTCAGAGAGCTGTTTCTTGTCAATATTTTCAAGAGCACTGATATCATTAAAAAGCACCATTTGCTCCTTTTTTGTTTTAAAAAATCATCCCTATATTGTATGTCATCTCACATTCATAACCTTTTTGAGTCTTCAGATCAGTGATGCTATTTCCTAAAATAGAATATGATAATTACAGATCATGTACTTTTTGTGGATCTCTTGGCTTTTACTTTCTACTGCTGGCCTGTTTTTTAATGAATAGATTTATGGAATGATGCTCTGGTACTTGTTCAGTTCATCAGAAATTCTTGCCAAGTAGGAAGTTATTAATTCACTAGTTTCTAATACTTTGTATTAGTAATGAGTTCAATAGTCATTTCAGTGAGTATATGCAAAGAAAAACTATTAACAAAAGTTTATCTTTTATTCCCAGAACTAATGCTTCAAAAATTCTTCCTTGATCTCAATGAAAACAAATTTTCAGATTCAGCCAATGCTTTTTATGAACTCTGTGGATATAACACCATGTTAGATCCAAAATTACAGGCTTTAGAATTCTTCATCATTGTACTGAAATTTACTGAGTAATATGTTTTGCTTGTTAGGCTTTCCTTTTGTGTAATGAATATCTTTCCTCCAGGCTATTCAATGACTATCATATTGGCTGAGTTTAACATTGATGCTAAGGATAGCCTTCATAGAGGAGATGGAGGTTCATCACAATAGCCATAATCAAGTGTCATGGTGGCCTTCTTGTCTTTTTTGGGGGGGACCGGGGATCAGATTGAACTCGGGTCCTTGTGGTTGCGAGGCAGGCGGTGGCACCACTGAACTAAATCCCCAGCCCCTAGGTGGCCTTCTTGTTAAACCCAGTAAGGTTTTTATATTGTAATACAGTGAAATTAAACTTGAGTCTCTGCTGATGAAGACTTTTTTTTTTTTTGGTACTGGGGATCAAACTCGGGTCCTTGCGCCTGCACAGCAGGTGGTGAAACCACTGAGCTAAATCCCTGGCCCTCTTTTTTTTTTAAACACATGACGGTATGTTCAATAAAAAACTGGACTTTGGTGTTTGATCAGTTATTTACTTTTTTTTTTTGAGTCAGGATCTCTCCGTGTAGTTCAGACTAGCCTTGAACTCATTATGTAGCCCAAAATGGCCTTGAACTCATGGTGATCCTCCTGTGTCAGCCTCCCGAGTGCTGGGATCACAGGTGTGTGCCATCACACCCAGCTCAGTCATTTACTTTTTAGAGACTTCATCCTATCCATTATATCTTACCAAGTAGATATAAATATTAAATGAGATGTGAGGTATGATAAAAATATGGTGAATGTTTAAATTTAAGATTATAGTAAAAGACATCCAGCTATTAATTCCTTTCAAAATATTTTCCCTAGCTTCAAACACACTTATCCCACTGTTCTTACCATTTTTTTCTTTTTCATTCAATTGTTATTTCTTTATTAGTAATGTCTGCAGTATACAATGACCATATTCCTTGTGGGGAGCTTGCCTACTCATACAATATAGCCCAGTTCTTTTTTAAAAAAATTTTTTCCTTTCCACTCCTTTCCCCCTCCATCTCTAGGTCCTCCTCCCATTTACAAAAGATCAATCTCCCCATTTTCCACTCTCCACACTACCCAGCTATTATTTTGCTCCTTATTTATATTTTGGACTTTTCATGTAAGAAACCATGTGATACCCAAGCTTGTCTGATCCATTTCACCCAACACTAGTGACTCAAGGTGCATCCATTTTCCCAGAAATGACTCAAATTTATCCTTTCTTATGACAAAATAGTTCTCCATTGTGTATAAACACTACATTTTCTTCATTCATCTATTAATGGACATAAAGTCCACTTCCAAGATTTGGCTATTGTGGATTGTGCTGCTATAAACATGGTTATACATGTAGCACTGCAATATATCTCTAACTCTTTGTGGAAGATACCTGGGATGGGAATAGCTGGGTTGAATGGAATTTCTAGTTTTAGTTTTTTGAGGAATCTCCATACTGATTTCCATAATGGTAGTACTAGTTTACATTCCCACCAACAATATAGAAGTGTTCCTTTTTCCTTACAGCCTTGCCAGCATTTATTTAATTTTTTGATGATAGTCATTCTTGCTGGAGTAAGATGGAATCTGTGTTGTTTTAATTCAATCCCTCCAATGGGCAAATCTCTTGAATGTTTTCTCATGTATTTATTGGCCATTTGTATTTCTTCTAAGAAGTATCTGTTCAGTTCAGTTGCCCATTTTTTGCCCAATGATTGGGTCCTTCATTATGGAGGGGTCTAATTTCCTTAAATTCCTTATATATTCTAGATATTAGACCTCTATCCAAGGAATAGTTGGCAAAAATTCTGTAACACATTTACTCACTGTTTCCTTTGCTGTGAAGAAGTGTTTCAACTGGTTATGATCCCACTTGATTCTTGGTACCATTTCCTGTGCAATTGGAGTTCTGTTCAGAAAGTCTCTGCCTTCACCTATGTCATCAAGAGCTTCACATATTTTATCTTCCAGCAGATTAAATGCTTCCATTTTACATTTAGAGCTTTGATCCATTTTGACCTTAGTTTAGTATATGGTGAGATATATGGGTCTAGATTCAATCTTCTCTATGTGGATAACCAGTTTCCCACACCATTCGTTAAAGAGGCTGTCTTTTCTTGAGCATAAGTTTTTTGCCCTTTCATCAAAGATCAGCAGCTGAATGTGCTTGGAGTTGCTTCTGCATTCTCTAATCTGTTTTGTTGATCCACAACTTTTTTTGTAACATGGTACTTTATTTTTATTATTACTGTAGCTTTGTAGTGTAACTTGAAGTATGGGATCATGATGCTTCCTGCTTGTTCTTGTTACTCAGGATTTCTTCTGCTATTCTAAGTCTCCAGAACTGCTTCACAAAGTGGCAAGAATGATGGGATAAATGTGATTAAAATGAACATATTTTTGGGGAGTATTACGGGGGGATTAGTGACAATGTGTCTTTTATTGTAATAAATTTTTTTTGTTTGTACTGGAAATCAAACTCGGGCCCTTGCACTTGCAGGGCAGGTGGTGGAACCACTGAGCTAAATCCCTGGTCCTCTATTGTAATAAATTAAAAAAATTTAAACAATCACTGTATATTTTGACCATACCTTATAAAATAGTAAGCATGTAATAAGTACCCAATAAATGTTCTTCCATTGTTTATTTTTATTTTATTTTTTGAGACAGGGTCTCACTATGGAGTTCAGGCTGGCCTTGTTGAACTCACTGGGTAGCCTAGGCTTGCCTTGAATTTATGGCAATCTAGAGGTGTGTACCACCACACCTGGCTTTTGTTCTGCCTTTGTTAATGCCTCATAGCTTTAAAAAAAACTTTTAAATGTATACTACCTTGATTAATATTTTCAGTGTTTTTCTGTCTCAGGAACTTGCGTTTGCGTGAAGTTCATGCTCACGCAGTCCTTGGGCATCATCCCCATGTGGTACGCTACTATTCCTCATGGACAGAAGATGACTATGTGATCATTCAGAATGAATACTGCAATGGTGAGTGTGTGGACTAATATCAAGAGAGAGAGAGAGAGAGAGAGAGGTTACTTTGTAAATCTTTAGAAATAAACTTTGCCTCCTCAAAGTTTATGCTGAGTACAGTTGTGTTGTGCCTAAAGTGTTTGTACCATAATTTTGCCTGGAAACAGCTTGAGAAAACAGTTGAGTTGAAAAGAGAAGGAATTTCTAGGAGCACATACACTTTTTTCAAAGCTGGTACAAATCTGATACACAGAATTTATCATTCTCTTTGAACATAACAATCAGGGAGATTTTGCCCTAGTAGTTTAAATGGTAAATATTTATTTTATCATTTTCTATGTATTCTGAAAAATATAAGTGATATCATTTTTGGAAGAGTTAAGGTTTCAGATTCAGAGAAAACTTTTAAGTAATATTCAAGTGGATTCCTAAGCTGGGTGATTGTGCTTGCCTCCTCCTACATAACATATTAACACTTCCTTACTGACATTATTTAGTAAAAAACAATGAATTATGCTCTTTTGTAAGTGGTGGATGATCTGCTTTAGCTATAGCATAAATGAATACTTTTTTTCATTAAGTTTATTGGTACATTTTAGGTATACAATACAATTACATTCATCATTGGGATCTTGTACCTTTACATGACTTATCTTGGTTCTTATTTTTTCCCCATTCCCCTGCCCTCCCTTCACCCCCTCCACCACTCCCTATTTACAAAGACTTTGTTTCCATTTTTTTCCTTTTCTCATATTTTTTCTTTTCCCTTCTTT